GGATGCTTTGTGCCGATCCTGATGATGCTTCTCTTCTCCGTCCTCTCGCGGAACCCGCCCCTGTCGATGGGGACCGCCATATGGATCGGCTGGTGTATCAAGGCGCTACCCATCCACCGCCACATATTCTCACCGCCGCGCCTCATCGCCGGGCCGCCGCCGCTGGAGGGATGTCCCCACCCCTCTCGCTCACCGCACCCGTCCACTCACCCTCCCGCCCCGCTCTCTCTCTAGATCGTCTGGATCCTCATCTTCGCAAAGGCCATCGCCACCATCTCCAAGGACCTGGGGATGCCGGACTACCTCGGCTGCGCCCTCAAGGGGACAGACCCCGCCGTGCGCCGCCAGTAGTCGAAGTAGTAGGCAACCTCGACTCCAAGATCGGACCCCTCTCCACGCCCAAGCGACTGGCGACAGGTCACAGGAGCCGTGGAGCTTAAACCCACGCGGGGACTGGGGGGACGGGAACGCCAGCAACGCGCGTGCCCGGCGGGGTCGATTGCCTTACGCTAGCCACCCGACGCGCATCGCTGCAGGTGCGCGATGTTCTGCCGCTAGCATATCTCCCCCATATCTCCCCACCGACGCAGGTCGTCCCTTGCGTGACCTTTGTGCTGGCCTGCCTCTGCTCGCTCGGCACCGGCACTTCCTGGTGCGCGCCCGTGGCACATCTCTGTGAATCGGGTTCTCATCACCCGCCGCCGCCGCACCCTCCCGTGCAATCCCGGGGGGGCTGTTGGTACCGTGTGCCCGCACGAGCTCCGCCAACTCCCAGCGCCTGCATTGCGGCGTGCCCTCGCAGGGGCACCATGGCCGTCATGTTCCCGATCTCGCTCCCGCTGGCCATCAACTTGTGCCGCGACGAGGGCATCGAGGACGGGAGTGACGAGGGGCTCAACATCCTCTACACCACCTCCGCCGCCGTGCTGGGCGGCTCGGTGTGGGCGGCCACTGCTCCATCGGGTGATCTCGGGTGATCTCGGGTGATCTCGGGTAATCTCGGGTAGGTGTGGGGCGACCACTGCTCCATCGTGTCGGACACCACCTGCCTCGCCGCGGCGGCGCGCCAGCCTAGAAAGGAAAGGGGGGAGGGGGGAGCGAGGGGGGGGGGGGGGGGTTGTACCTGTGTACTCCGCGAACGCGGCACGAGACCGCACGTGAGACCGCATTTGTGCCCCGTTGTAGGCTTGCCAGTGCAGCGTCTACGACCACTTCAAGACCCAGATCCCGTGCGTGCCCCGGGCGGCCCCCGCATTTCCCGCCACTGCCCTCTGCCACACCATGACAGACTCGTCCTCCTTAAGCCACATGAAGGGGGGGGGGGGCTTCGCGATGCTATGCGGCTAGCATATCTCCCCAGATCTCCCCAGATCCCCCCAGATCTCCCCAGATCTCCCCAGATCTCCCCAGATCTCCCCAGATCTCCCCACGCTGCAGGTACGCGATGTTCTGCGGCCTCAGCGCGCTCCTCCTGGGCTTCCTGCCCACCGCCTACGGAATCATCGAGCACGAGACGTCTGTTCTCGTCCCCACGCGACCGGAGCGTGGAGACCTGTTGGACTTCCGGTGTAGGCATGCCCGCCGGCGTCGGCATCTTCATGGCGCTCTCCGTCTCCCCCGCCATCTCGGTTGCGATCTCCTACGTCCCTCGCTTTGGTGTGGTCACCCCCAGCCTAAGCACCCAGCACTGCGGCCTCTCCCGACGTCCACTCCCGCGCCCACCCACACCCACCCTCACACCCACGCCCCTGCCGTCCCCCCCCTCCCCCCTCTCAGGCGGCGCTGTTCCGACGTACTCGCCGACGCGCGGCGAGATCGGGACCGGCATCTGGGGCATCAAGGCGTCCGTCATGTCCTACGGCAAGAAGGCCCCGGGTACCAAGACAGAGGCCGCGTGACTTTGGCACACATGGCAGAGCGGAGGCGCGGTGACGGCTCCGGTTAGCTAGGGGGCCGATCCGACAGCGAGAGAGTGGCACGCCTGGCTCTCGTGCACTCGTGTACTGTTCCTTGGCGACCGAGGACGGCGCGCCCAGGAGGTAGGAGGATGGTGCGTGCCCAGCGGGGGAAGACTGAGGGCTGGGCAGGGCGGGGGGCGCCGCGATGCTTGTAGCATATATAGTACCTTGTAGCTGCTTGTACAGATCCCGCCCACGGGGAGTGTAGTCACTCGTTATTGTGTGAAGGCTCTGTGTCTGGCTCTGCTGTGTGCCTGTGAGCCTACCGCGTAGAGAGTGTGCGGTGCGCGTTGCGGCTCTCTGTGTACTCTCTGTAGGTGCACAGTTGCCGCCTCTCTCACTGTTGATAGATGGTAGTAAGTACAGCAGTTGGTGGCAGAGGGTGCCTCAAGATTGTCAACAAGCAGAAGAAGGAGCTCTGAGGGCACGGCGGCGCCTGTAGAGCGGAACGGACTGGGTGTTGCACGCGACGTTGATATCCACTCTTTCGTCTTTGCTCTCAGTATACGGTAAACTTCAACACAAGGAGACATGGAGAGCACTGGCGCACTGGCACTTGGTCTTGGACAGTGGCACGGTGATCAGTGGTGGCCTGGTGCGTCAGTAACTCGCGCGCACTTCGGTCTTTTCGCGCATACGGGGTGTGGGGGGTGAGTTGACCAGGGTTTGTGCGCCGGGCCCTCCTGCTCGGCTCCAGCGACAAGTCTTGTCATCAACAGAGTAGATCTAAGGATTTGACCTCAGGGCCGATGTAACGCCAAGCGCTGGTAGCGTGATTTTTTACCTCACAGTCTCCAGGTTTCAACTGTGCAGAGTGTGTGAGCAGCAGAGGAGCTGCTCTCCAGGCTTCTGTCGCAAAGAGCTGCATGCCACCGAAGGCGCTGTCGAGGTTCGCCGAGCGCGGCACAGGTTGAGGGACACCGTCACCGACGAGCGCGTTTGGTTGGACTTTTCACTCCGGACAAAGACGGCGACACGCACACGAGCCGCCGCGCGGCCGTGTCGCCGTCATAGCGGCGAGGCGCGGGACCGTCTGTGGCGAAGTGGGTCGCGTCCCTCGATTTTTCCGTCAACTCACCGTCCAAGCCTCCATGCCCTCTTCCCTGTTCCCTGGTGAGTATTGTACTCACACTCACTCACTCACTCACTCACTGCTCCCTGGGTGGGCGGGCGCGGGGGGGGGCTCTACCCGGGCATATTAGGTATGTTGTTAGCAGATCATGGTGGTCTCAGGCCCAGTGAGGTAGTGCATCAGACTATCCCGGATCCTGCTGACCAAGCTCTTCTTGTAGCTCGATCGGTCACACCGCCATCGCCGTCGGGGAGAGGGGGGACGACACTGCTTCGGCAGCGTGCACCTCGATCCTGTACCGTGTGTACTTGTTACGTGAAAACCCGCTGCGCGCTGGGACCCGGACGCCAGCACACACACACGGCTAGATTTCATGGCGGGCCGCCTGTACCGTGTTTGTTATGACCCCCCCCAATGAACACACCAGTGAGGGAGGGCGAGACGATCGAGGGGTCCCGTACCATGCGGAATCGACCCTATGAAGTGCTCAAGTGCTCAAGCAGATCATGGTGTGTGTCTCGCAAAAACACGAAATCGCACACTACCCACCCAGCCCCGGTCCCGAATCCGGCCCTGCGGCGCGGATATTTTTATACCTTTGTTTGTATATGGCAACCGCCGCCCGCAAGCGCGCCCGCACCGGCGGTGGCGGCGAGGAGGAGGACGAGAAGCCCGTGCCGGTCGCGGATGGCTTCGAGGCGCCCATCTTTGGCGCGCGCGTCGTCGGTCAGGTCACCACGCCGCCGCTCGAGGGCGAGGACGGCCCTCTATCGCTCGGTCCGGTTGGCGTCGCGAGCGACACGCTGGCGCCTGGTACGTCGCGACCGAGGACTCGCTGCTGCACGTCTCGGCGGCCGGGCGCGTGCGCCGCGTGCTCCTGGCCGCCAGGCTCCCCGGGCGTGTTCGATTTTATTAAATGCGCCACATGTTTTGGCGGGCACTTCGGAACGCCCAGCCGGGTTTCGCTAAAGCAACAGTCGGTCGATGGACTTGAGAGCCCTTGCTGCGGCCCGGAAGCGAGAACGCCCCCGCACCCTGCTCGGCCGAGCGGTCTCGTCGCAGCCCACCAAGCAGGTGCGCAAGTCGCCCGCGTCGGAGGCTCCGAGGCCATCATGTTCGGCGGCGCAGAAACGCCCCAATGCGCCGCCCAGAGCACTGAATTCGCAGAGCGGTGCGACGCCGTAGCACTCTTCTGCTGATATGATGTGCTGCGCGCGCTAGGCGCACCCTGGCGCGCGGTACACGGGATCCCACCCCATCCCACGACCTGCTCCCAGAAAACTATCACTCCATCCCCGCTCGTCATCGCGTGGCCGCACATTCTCAGAATGACGCCATTTTCCCCTTCGCGGCGGCAGGAGCAACTGCGGGGCAGCGCGCGCCGCCCGACCCGGCGCCGCCGGCTCAGGGCCGGGAGGAGATCCCCCCTCGCCGCTTCTATGGGGAGCCGCGAGCCGCTCCCCGCGCCGAGGACTCAGCATCCTCGCAGCCAGCCCCAACGTCTCTCGTCGTTCGCTTGACGGCTGCACAAAAGGAGGACCTGCTTACGGAGCGAGTCAACATGAGTGTGGCGGCGGCAGTAGCCCTCCGCGCACCAAAGCGCTCGGCCGAGACGTGGTCGGCAGTAGCCAAGTCGGGTGCGATGGACCTCTTTGTCTGGTGGGCTGAGCCTCGCCCTTTCTCTCTGCGCGCGCTCTGTCACACACTTATGCCTCCCTCGCGTGCAAACACAGGCGGTACATAACGCCCACGTGGACGCTGGAGGCGCAGGCGCGGCCGAAGGTGCGCCAGTGGTCGACGAACTCCCAGTCGGTCCTGCGTGCCACCCTCGACCTGCTCTCGGCGCGGGGCTCCTTCAAGGCGATGTACGACGTGAAGGTGCTAGTCCCGAACAAGGACCGGCCCTCGACGATGGTCGCGGCGGGCGTGGTGCCGGCAACCTTCTCGGTGATCACCAGCGCGCGCAAGACGGTCACGATCGTGCTGCGCATGAAGATGGCCTACTTCAACGCGGTGAGCAGCGCGGTGAGCCCGGGGTACTCGACCCACACGCCTTTGACGCTCTGTCCCTTCTCTAGGTGGGGGATCTGCAGGTGTGTGCGCCGCACCCGCAGCAGGGACCGATCCCAGCCTTCGAGGGCTATGGGGAGTCGGGACTGCTCACGCAGGAGGCGCTCAAGGAGGAGATCAAGCAGTCGATCCGCCTGATGGTGTCGACCAGGCCGGCGTGGGGCAAGTACTTGGACCCGCGGCTGCTCACGGCGGCGCGACGCACGCCGGAGCAGGAGGCGGCGGCGGCGAGGCAGGAGGCGACGAGGGTGGAGAGGCTGGCGGGGGGGGCGGAGGCGGACGAGGACGCGACCCAGCCGTCCGCATCGCCGGCCAGCGTGCTGGCGGAGTCGGGCACGCCGCATCGGCCGTCGCAGGCATCGACAATCGTGCCATCGGCGCCGCCCAGCGACGCGACGGAGGTCGCGGACCCGCAGATACGCGCGAAGACCCCTTCGCCGCGCCGGCGGGGCGCGCGAATGGCGCGGGCGCTGGAAAACGTGCCGCAGCTGGACATGCAGGCTTTCATGGGGGGGGCAAGCGCAGGGTCGTCCTGACCATGTGGGACGCCGCCAATGAGGAGCGCCGACGCACCGTCGTGGGGGTGGTCTCCGCGCTCGAGCTCGAGGCCCGACTCGACCCGCGGATGAGGCACGTCGTCGACGGGATGCGGCAGCAGCTCGAGCGGGAGTACGGGGGCCAGATCGCGGCGCTCAAGCGCCAGCTGGCCGATCTGAAGGCGGACGAGGAACGGGTTCGGCGCGAGGCGGTGCGAGAGGCGAGGCGCGAGGTTGGCGTGGCTCACGCGGAGCAGGTGCAACGCTCCGAGCACGCGCAGCAGAGCGCCCGCTTCGAGCATAAGGCGGACACGCTGCACGCGGGCCATGTCAAGGCGGCGGAGGCGAGGGCGGAGAAGGCGGAGGCGAGGGCGGAGAAGGCGGAGGCGAGGGCGGCACTTGAGGCGGCCAACGCGGCGGCGGACAAGGGTGCGGCAAAGCTGCTTGTGCGCAACGAGAAGCGCCTTACCGAGTCCATCGAGCGGGAGCGGGGCCTGGAGGCGGAGAACGCGGCCGTCAAGAAGGCGTACCGCGAGTTCCGCACCGCGAGCACGACCGCCGCCGCTGCGCACGCCGCCGAGCGCGCCGACCTCGAAACAGCCCTTGCCACCGCCACCGCCGAGCGCGCCGCCGGCCTCACCCAGCTCGCCGGGATGCAGGCGAGCCTCGCATCGTCTGCCAAGGCGCTCGAGACGCAGCGCGGGGCGCTGGAGCGGCTCGCGGCCGAGGCCGCGGCTTCACGCTCGAGCCCCCTCGCGCGGGCCGTGCAGACTTTCGACGATCGCCGTCACGAGAGCACCGACGCCCCCCGGACGCAATCGCGTTGGCGGTCCGAGGAGCGCGACTACTGGCAGGCCGCCTTCACTGTGCGCCGCGAGTGGGACCTGCGGACGCTCGCCGAGGCGCTCGAGTCGAGCGACGGCGACGTCAACGAGTTCGAGTACCCGCCGGTTGCTACTGGCACCGACCGCGTCATCCCCGAGGCGCTGCACACCTACGACATCAACGGCGGCAAGCAGACGTTCAAGTGGCTGGTGCTGCGCGACCTGAGCCCCTACACGCTCGCGCGGATCTCCGGCTACCTTACCGGCATGGGCGTCAAGCTGGACGTCACGGCGGGGGGATCGCTCACGAAGTGGTTCAAGGGCGCCGACTTCCACGCGATGATGCTCGGCGACTCGCGCTTTCCGGGCGGCGCCCCCGCGTGGTTCTCTCAGCTCGTCTACTGCATCGGCGAGTGGGAGCTCGAGAGCGGCGCCGCGCCCACCGCTCCATCGTGGCACGCGAACTTCGCGTGCCGACCGCGCGAGCTGCTGCCGGCGATGATCAAGCGCTACGGGAAGGACCTGGCGACGCGCCTCGTGCGAATGCTCGAGATGTTCGACGCGCTCCGCAACCTCTTCAAGGTCGTCTCCGAGAGGCCCGTGACCCAGGTGGAGAGGGACGACGTGGCGTACCGGCACGCGCTCGCAGGTCCGCATCGCACCTCTCCGCGCGCCGTCTCGCACCCGCGCCGTACACACACACACGCAGCCACCCCCTCCCGCCCCCGCAGCGTGTGACTGCATGAGCATCTTCAAGGACGGCGCGGCCTCGACCGCGAGGACGAACATCTGGAACATCATCCTCGTCGTCTGCACTTACGTCATCTGGAAGTGCGCTCACCCATCCCCGGCCCCGCGCCCCGGCCCGTCGCACTTCTCCGTTCTCACCCCCCCCCCCCCCGCCCGCCCGCCCGCCCGCCCGCCCAACCCCGTAGGCGCGGCAACCTCTACAACTTCTCCACCGCAAAGCTCGAGGCAGCTGGCTGGGAGGCCAAGCAGACCGTCCGCAAGTGCATCTGCTGGCGCTCGGGCCTCGGCAAGAACGTCCAGCAGCGCGTGTCGAAGCGCCAGTCTGGCAAGCGTGCGAGCATCTCCAAGAAGGGGGCGACGGCCGCGCTCGCCGGGCACTTTCAGGGCTACGACAGGAGCCTCGCCCCCCTTCCTCGCCCCCCCTCCCCCAACCCTCGCTCCCTCTGTCATCGGTCCCGGCCTCCCGCTTCCCGCGAGGGCAGACACAACCTGCCGCCCACACCTGCCGCCACCGCCCTTACGCCGCCTCGCCGTCGCCCCCACAGCTCGGGCGTCACGCAGCTGCTGCGCCGCACGCGCATGAAGCGGGACAACGTGGTCAAGGCCGGCTCGAAGACCGCGACGCGGCTCTCCGTGCTCGGCCGCATCAAGCTCGAGCCCGGCTACAAGGCGCCGCCGGTGTTCGATGAGGTGCTGCCGCACGGCCAGGTGTTCAGCTGCACGGCCCTCTACCGCTCCCTCTTCATGGGCGAGGTCAAGGTCGGCGCGCTGTACGACTGGGACGGCCACTGCACGCTTACGCGTGCGCGCGAGTACCGCATGCGGCCATAGGCCGCCGCCTGCTGCCGGCGCGGCCGGGCACTCCGGGAATTTATTTTGAGTACTCTCGTAAACTCGTGACGCTTGTGGGGCTAGTATGTTGTTTTCTGGGGGCGTTCGGGGCGGCGGAGTATTTTTTTGTGCGCGCGGGCGGCCAGGGGCGGCCCCTGGGCGCCCTATGGCCGATTTTTTACAATCGAACACACCCGGCAGAGGAGCAGCCGCCCCGAGGAGGTGGAGGAGATCAGATTTGGACAAATGGGGAGGAGGTTTGGTGAAGTACGAGGTCGAGAGGGATCACTCGTGACTAGTAGCACTCTTCTGCAACTAAATGACTATTACCTTACACACAGTACATCGGGGCAAGAGATGCCATAATGGCACGCGTGTCGTCTCTCTGTCTCGTCATGTGCAATGATCTCGCGAGAGAGTTGATCTCGTAGAACACTTGGAGACTATATACTCTTAACCGCACGGTGAGCCATAGCACAGCCGCGCCTCCCGACTGCTCTCTGAATGGCGACAACCCACGCCCGCCAAGAGGTCCTCACGCGGCCAAGAGGTCCGTTGAGTGGCAGCGCGTGTGGATAGCTTTTTACAGAAAAAAGGTCCCCCGGCCCACGGGCGTGTTTTGAAACGCGGGCTTACGCCAATCCCTTCCACAAGTTCCACAGGTGGACACAGCAAAGGTGCAAACTCGACCTCAACCTTCACAGGCTTCACTGACCGGCCCACAATGTACAGCGCATAGGCGTTTACTTACATAGGCGAGACGGCGATCTCGGGACGCATAACTTCGTGAGGCTGTCGCGAGCGCCGCCTTTGCCCCCACCGCCCAACCCGGATGATCGCCCTCCTTGCTGCCAATGCGTTGAGCTTTGGCCCCGCGGGGCTTCACGCACCACTTTCCGCGTCGCATCCTGCTGCATGATGTAGCGACCGGAATTGCGAGAACACGGCACGCGCTTCAGAGTGTCCCCGCCATCAGCGATCATGAGCGACGAGATAACGGGCCTGCGATGAGGGTGCTGCTATCGTGGTCCCCGTGGGCCACTGACATCACGTCAATCGCCCTCGCCGTCTTCACCCGGTAGTTACCGCTCGAAACCCCAAGCAGTAAGGTTTACCCATTTCAATGCATGCCATCTTTGTACAGCTCCCGATTGCGCCTACGTTCGAGGCCGGCAGGTTGGGTGAGGAGCAGCAAAGGGAAGGGCGGTGTGACCTCACACCGAAAGCTCACCTTCTGGCGTGACTCCGCACGTGTTGCAGCCGTCAAACCAGCGGAGGCAGCCCAGAGGGATACCCGGCGATCCGACAGCGACTTCTTCGGTGGGAGGCGGATTAACAGGCGGGTCCTCACTTTGCGGCCGGCCCCCCTCCATCTGCATCCTTGCGAGCCTCATCTTCAAAGCTGCCGCCTGAGCGTTTGCCTCCGATGCCCGTGCCTCCGCCTCCGCCGCCTCCTGCTCTTTCAGCGCGATCCTCATCTGCATCCCGGCGGTTTCAGCAATGGTGGAGCGCATGCTCTCGATCTCGTCAGAAAAGTGCCTCAGCTCCGATTGGACGAGAGTGAAAGGCGCGTGGGGCGGCCTACTCGGTGCGGGCGGCGGACGCGGAATGTAGACGCAAATCGCCCGCGCCGTCTTCTGCTCGCGGTACTGGCCTAGACACGCCGATAGTCGGAGGTCAGGGAGAGGGGTTAGGGGCGAAAGGGGAGCGTTGGGAGCTGTAGAGCTCACTTCGAATGGCCTGAACATTGGCGTTCCCCCTGTGGTTGTACTGCACCGTGTTCTCTCGACTGGCGAAAAACTCGCATCCCCCCAAGTCGTCCTTCCAGCCCTCTGGTCCGGAGGCGTATGTGAACTGGTAGCCGAGGCTTCTGGCGCACTCCCGGCACTGCTCTTGCCCGATGTAGCAAGCTCGGTTCCCGTCGTGGAGCCTGCACTCGGGTAGTGGCGGCGCCGCCGGTGGTGGCGGGGCTTGCGGCGGTGCAGGTGGGGACGCAGGCGAAGAAGGCGGGCCAGGTGGGCCAGGCGGTGCGTCAGGAGACTCTGGGCCACCACAGAGGCTGGACGAGGAGGATCGCTGCCAGCTGCTCCTTCCGTCCTCGTGGTGGACGAGAGCCATCCCTGCGTCGTAGGCGACAAAGTTGGCCCTCGCGTCGCAGTACACGCAGAAGCGGACGCAGTCGCGTTTCGAGCGGAGGACGCATCGAGCGTAGATGCCGTCTTTGTGGTAGCTGCAGTCGCACTCGTGGCATGGGCCGGTGGTCGGCACAGGCGGTACCATCACAGCTGGCGGGGCCGCCGATGGCGCCCCTGTCATGCAGATGGCGAGCGCCATGCGCTGATCGCCATAGTGGAGGTCGATGGAGTGGATGGTTGGGTGGCCGCAAGTGTTGAACCCCGCCCCCCCGTGGACCGCCTCACACCCTGCCAGATCGTCGTTCCAGCAGCCCGAACCTTGGAAGCCTCGAATTCCGAGCTGCGAAGCGCACCGCCTGCAGGCCCCTGCGTCCCCAATTGCTTGTGCTGCACTACACTTCTGTCCTGAGGGCAGCTTCACGCATCGGCCTGGTTCTTGCTGCGAACCCGGTGGCGACGGTGGCGGCGGTATTGGACCCGGCGGTGACGGTGGCGGTGGAGCGGGCGTGGGCGGCGCGGGCGGCGGAGGCATCGGCGGCGTTGGATCGGTCACGGCCTCGGGCGATGAAGCCCGGAGCACGGGCGCAGCCATTCTGGCAAGCTCTGTGATCAGTGCTTGAGGAGGAGTGGACGGGGCGGGCGCAATGCATGGAATCGATGAGTAGAGCGGATGTTGGTCGTACAAGCAGCCTACATGGTACACACACCAACATCAGAGCGGGAATGCGGTGTCGTGCAGCGCCACTTGAAATACACGAAGTGTGGATTCAGCTTCTACGACAATCAGCCTCGGCCCGTGCAGGTCTGGTTGCAAAGCGTGTATGGCACACCTTCAGCTTGGACACCAATCTCAGCGCAAGCGGCGACCGCCTCGCCGAAAGTCCGCTTGGTGATGCCGGGCGGCTGCCCAGAGATGCAAGCCGTGCCCACGATGCGCACGCACGCTTCCGCGCCCGCTACGTCGGGCTTACAGCACTGAGTGGCAATCCGTTTAAGTGCTCCGTCAATCTCTGCTCGAACGGTACCCTCGTCGCCTGGGAAGAGGCAGGAGAGCTTGCCAGTCTTCGCGCTCAGGACCTGAACGCCCGCGCTTGGAATCTGCCCACTAACCTGAACGAGCGTGACCAGCGGGAGAAGGAGATTACCCATTATGGGTCACAGGGCCGAAAGACAACAGGACAGCCACGTCCGCGGCCGTCCGTCCGCGGCTCGCTAATTGCTCCAACGTTTCCGCCTTTCTTTTTTGTAAGTGTTAGCTCTTACGAACATGCCCGCCAGAGCGCGAGTGTTCGCCAATCCTTTTCTCTCTCTGAGCACATTTTAATATACGCCCCCCTCTCCCTGTGAGTGAGTGAGTGTGTCGGGCACACTCACCCAGCTGTTAACCTGATGTTTTATTTTTTTTGGCTGCGATTTACGTGTTGGCTCCGCCGACGGCAGCTACCCGCCCCGGCCCTGCAAACCCGCCTTGCTGCCATGCTCGGCCAGCCGCTGATGAGCGGCCGCCCGGCCCGCGCCGACCACGCCTCCGGCGCGCCCTCCTCCCGCCGCCTCGCCATTCCCGCCTTTGCTGCGGCGGCGGCGCTGCTGTCGTCCGGGATCTAGATGCCAAAGGCGCAGCGCTCTGCATTCGACAAAGGGAACCCCGCTAGTTTAGCTGGCGTGCAGCGGCACTGCTCCACACGCACTCCCGTCCACGGCGGCCATGGTGAGGCTGGAGCAGCGGGGCGCGTCCTGACCGCTCTCGCTCTCTCCGCCTTAGGTCTGGCTTTCTGGCGGGGATGTGGTATGCGCATCGGAGAAGCCCGGGCGGGCTGGCGGCGGCGCCGGGCGGTGACTCCTACACCTTCTCAGCGCGGTCGTCCGCCGCCGCAACGGCAGCAGCGCCGGCAGACGTACTGAAGGCGCCTAGACACTTCCTAGACGCTTCCTAGACCGCCCTAGACATCTTCCCGGGATCACGCACCGCCGTCACTGCTCTCCTGCTCGTCCCGCGCGCATCGCCCGCGCCGCCTGGCGACACCGTGCTCCTTGCTCGGGACGGGATGCAAACATGTGCAAATGCGTGGGCAGAGCAAGAGCGAGAGGATCCGGTCTCAAAGCCTCTGCACCTCCCTGCCCTGCAGGTGTGGTACGAGGAGCGCACGCCTTCGAACTGGACGCTGCCGAGCCCGGCCAAGCGGTGCGACTACGTGGTGACCGAGGTGCGGAAGCGGAACAAGAACTACTCGCGCGCGCTGCTGCAGGCGACCGCCCCGGCGTTAGCTCGCACACCGGACGTATGCCCACCTTCTGGGTGGCGCGCGCGTCTAGGCAAAGTACCAGCTGCAGTCGCAGAGCCTCAACACCTTCTACCGCGGCGTGGCGTACCTCTTCTGGCACGACTTTCTGCACGGCAGCTGGGGCAACTACGACGTGCTCTCGCTGCTTCCAAGGTATCGCCGCCACACGCTGCAGACGCTGCACATCTCGCGCACCTCCTTCTGGACGTGGGTCTCTGGCGACCAGCACCTGTCCAACTTTGGCGCGTGGAGGAACCGGCACGACGACATCGTGTACGGCGTCAACGACTTTGACGAGGCCGTGGTGTACGACTTCCACATCGACGTGTGGCGGATCGCGGTGTCGATCATCGATCACGCAGAGTCGAATGGGCTGTCGTCGGACGAGGGCGTCGAGGCGATCCGCGCCTTTTGCCACACGTACGTCGCCACGATGCGGGACTACGTCGGCAACGAGCGCGACAAGCAGCACGAGGTGCGGTATGGCAACACCGACGGCAAGCTGGGCGAGTTCTTGGACAACGTCGGCGGGGCGGAGAAGGAGCACCAGATGCTCAAGAAGTTTACAGAGGTGGTGGGCCACAGGCGGCGCTTCAAGAAGACTAAGAAGACGAGGCTGCTGCCGGCCAACGACGCAGTCTGGAAGCAGTTTAACGCCTCCTTCACGGTCGACGGGTACGGCGCGACGCTGCTCAAGGTTGGCTGGAAGGTGCGGGAGTGGGACGAGGGGACGTTCCACATCCTCGACCTAGCGCAGCGCACGGGCTCGGGCGACGGGTCGTACGGCCTGCCTCGCTTCTACGTCCTGATCGCCGGGCCGCAGGGCGGGCACGGGGAGGACTGCGCGGTCATCCTCGACGTCAAGATGAGCGTCCCTCCGGCCGCCTTCGAGTCGCTCGAGCCGCAGGACCGGTCGTGGTACAATGCCCTCTACAGCAACGAGGCGGCGCGCGCGGTGGAGGCGCAGCGGCGCTTCACATCGTACACCGACCCGTGGCTGGGCTGGGTCCAGATCGGCGACAACTTCTACGTCGTGCGCGAGCGGTCGCCGTGGAAGGCCTCCTTCCCGCTCGACTCGCTGCAGAGCCTCGGCGACTTCATCGCCTTTGCGCAGCAAGCGGCCGTGGCGACGGCGACGGCGCACTCGCGCGCGTCGTATGGGAAGACGCCGGCGCAGATCAAGGAGGTGGTCTCCACGGCGCTCGGCGCGTACGTCGCCACCGTCGCGTGGGCGCGCCGCGTGGCCGAGATTGCAATCTCGTACCACGGCCAGGTGCAGCTCGACTTCGAGTGCTTTCGTGACTGGGCAACGGAGTACCCGAGACTGCACGAGAGACTGCCCGAGACCGCACGAGAGTACCCGAGACTGCACGAGAGTACCCGAGACTGCACGAGAGTACCCGAGACTGCACGAGAGACTGCCCGAGACCGCACGAGAGTACCCGAGACTGCACGAGAGTACCCGAGACTGCACGAGAGTACCCGAGACTGCACGAGAGTACCCGAGACTGCACGAGAGTTCGCGAGACTGCACGAGAGTACCCGAGACTGCACGAGAGTACCCGAGACTGCACGAGAGTACCCGAGACTGCACGAGAGTTCGCGAGACTGCACGAGAGTACCCGAGACTGCACGAGAGTACCCGAGACTGCACGAGAGTACCCGAGACTGCACGAGAGTACCCGAGACTGCACGAGAGTTCGCGAGACTGCACGAGAGTACCCGAGACTGCACGAGAGTACCCGAGACTGCACGAGAGTACCCGAGACTGCACGAGAGTACCCGAGACTGCACGAGAGAGTACCCGAGACTGCACGAGAGTACCCGAGACTGCACGAGAGTACCCGAGACTGCACGAGAGTACCCGAGACTGCACGAGAGTACCCGAGACTGCACGAGAGTACCCGAGACTGCACGAGAGTACCCGAGACTGCACGAGAGTACCCGAGACTGCACGAGAGTACCCGAGACTGCACGAGAGTACCCGAGACTGCACGAGAGTACCCGAGACTGCACGAGAGTACCCGAGACTGCACGAGAGTACCCGAGACTGCACGAGAGTACCCGAGACTGCACGAGAGTACCCGAGACTGCACGAGAGTACCCGAGACTGCACGAGAGTACCCGAGACTGCACGAGAGTACCCGAGACTGCACGAGAGTACCCGAGACTGCACGAGAGTACCCGAGACTGCACGAGAGTACCCGAGACTGCACGAGAGTACCCGAGACTGCACGAGAGTACCCGAGACTGCACGAGAGTACCCGAGACTGCACGAGAGTACCCGAGACTGCACGAGAGTACCCGAGACTGCACGAGAGTACCCGAGAGTGCAGCCCACCGTTGAGTGCCTTTCGCGGTTGGCGCTGTGGGTGAGGGGGTAACCGCCGAGACAGCGAGACAATGACACAGAGGTGACGGCGAACACCCGCCCTCCGAGATTACCCGAGATTACCCGAGATTACCCGAGATTACCCGAGATTACCCGCAGGTGGCCAAGGAGTACCCTCCTCCCTCCGAGACGACGGTGGAGTGCTGGGACGACGATGACGGCGCGGAGAGTAGCCGAGATGCCCCGAGATGACCCGAGATGACCCGAGATGACTCGAGACGGAGTGCTGGGACGGCGAGGACAGGGGCGATCCAGTCAAGCCACCCCACCCCCTTCCCCATGGCCTTGACACGATGTCAGCGCCCCGAGGCCCTCTCTCACGCCGACCCGCCGCTGTGATCAGGCGATGGGCCTGGCTGCGACCCGCTCGATGACGACGCGAGGCGGCGAGCGTGGTGGAACGGGCTGTAGAGCTAGACGTCAGCCGAATTCAGCCGCGACGTCACAGCCGCTTGGAGTGTGACTTGTTTATCCAGTTGGGTTTATGGCCCTGGCGACGTTGCAAAATCCCGTTTTTGGCCGCCGGCTCTCGCCGACGCCGTCTCTCTCGCGCGCGCACATCTGCACGAGCAGGATTTTGGAAGGACGATCAAGGGGACTGGTGTGGCTTTTTCCCGGGGGATTGGCAGATATTGCCAGCTATTTTGTTTTTGAAAAACGGCCCCCGCCGGGCGCCGAAAACTTGCGTAACCGCCGAAATTCATTCACCGAGGACTTTTGTTCAGAGTCCTCGGCCCGCGGCCTCTTGCTGACCTGTCTGCTCTCGAGTCAGGTGGCGCTGCCCCGACTCACCTGCGCGATCGCCGCGACGCCTGCACACCTCCACAGCCGCTGCGCCGCCGACCACTAATCGCGCATCACGCCTGAATTGTGGCTGGGGCCCGAGCCGTTCTGCGCGTCTGCGATGACCGAGAAATCGCCTCCGCGTGCCCTTAGGAGGAAGGCGTCATTTTGGGCATGGCCTGTTGGTGGCTCGGGGCCGTCCTGGCCGCGCCCACCGCCCGTCAGCCAACCTTTGCGCCGCGTCCGCCGCGTCCGACACCTCCGCGTCCGACACCTCCGCTTCCGGACTATCTGCAGAGCTTGGGCTGTGAGGTCTTCGTGAAAGGCGAGTACGTGAAGTGTGAAGGCTGCGTTTACGACGGCAGTGGCGAGGGCTCCAATCGCAAAGTTACGCATGAGGGCTCCCTCTCGCCTGAAGATGCTTTGCGGATCATGACGCAGTCGGGCATAGACGTCTTCAGCCAAATGAAGATCGCCGACAGCCACACATGGGAGTTCCACGGAATCAATTTCGACACGAAGAAAACCCCAATCTGGGATAGCAAACGGTTCAAAAAGGAGTCGTTGAAGTGTGGAAAGTCAGACGCCATGGTGGTCTACATCCGCATGCGCAAGAAATACGACGGCAGCGTATTCTTCACGACGCAAGGTAGGGATGATTTGAAAACCAAGAAGTTGCTCCCTGCCATGGGTAGGTGCTACACCAATTTCGCATACTCGAGCTTCAAGGCAACGCTCAACGAAATGCTCGATGGGATGGCAAGAGATGCGCAAATCGTACTCGCCGATCAGATCCTTTCGACGATCGTGTTCGTTCCTATGTTGTTTCTCCCGGAAGTAGACGTGAGCATATCGATCCTCTCAAATGCCTTGAAGGAGCTCTGCGAGGGGCGCCGGCGGCAGAGCTCAGCGCGCTGAAGCGCATGAAGCGCGCGCTCGGGTTGACAAGCAAGAGGTAGGCGAGGGGGCCTACACGCGTCCGTGACACGTCTTTCGCGCGCTCTCCAGACAGCGGGTCGGTTAGCATCGGCGAGGCGGAGCGCCGACGAAGCACAGCACTGCGCATGAGACGCTCAGCGCGGTGAGGACGATGCGGCGGCCGAGGCCGCGGTAGTTGGTCGCGACGAGCTGCGCGCCTGGACTCACTCGTCGTAGTTCAGCGCCTGCCCGCCCGCCCGCATGATACGATGGATCCGCCCGCTTGAGCTGCTCTCTCGGCAGTCCTTTGTGGGCCCTGGCTGGCTCAGAGGCACTGCCGCTGGCCTTCTTTGGGGCGGGTCTGTGCGCATCTATTCGCGTCGCCGGTGGCGTACGCGATGAAGGACATGCAGACGTAATTGATCGGAAAGTAGATGTTGAGCCGGTTGGGCCTATGCTCGCATGGCTGTTGCGGTGGCCAGGGTTTGCGGGGGTGGGAGTAGCGCGCGGCAACGGCCAACGCACCTCCCTGTGCGAGAGTTGGTCAGCACCTCGACCTAGCACCGAGGACGGGACAGGGCGGCTTGCGTTGGCTGCTTTAGTGGGACAGAGGCATTAACCGAGCAGCGGCCAGGGCGCGCGGTTTGACACGGGGTGCAGGTGAGGCTGCGGGTGCGCCTTTGCCACACGATCAAAGATCATCCCGGCGACGCTCGCTGCGAGGCCGGCAACGAGGAGTCCGGTGCCTCGAGGGATGAATTTGCCCGGCAGTCGCACCTGTGAGGCTGGGCAGAGGAGCCTGAGCCCTCGGAGGAGCTTGGGGTGCGGGAGGAAAGGGCCGCTCACAACAAGCGCGGCTGTGTGCCACGCAGCAACGCAGACGATGGCGAGCTTGAGGTAGGAGACGAGCCACGGCTCGTAGTCGCGGTCGTCGGTCGAGAGCGACTCGCAAAATATGGCGGCGTCCGGTGGATCCATTACATGCGGGGCGGGTGGAGCAGACGCGTAGAGGCGTGTGATTGGCCCAGAGGCCGGACGGGCGAAACGTCGGCGTGACAAGTTGTCGTCGTTCAGGGCGCCACGTATTCCTTTTGCCTATGGCTCTGCGCGCTAAGTCTGTGAGAGGATGCGTTCACACTGTCTGTGTGTACTTGTTGAAATTTTGTAAAAAGAACACAACAACCCAGGGAGGGATGGGAGGACGGCACGCCGCCACCACACAGGGAGGGATTTTAAGGAGAGGAGTGTGGTAATGCTAGCCGTCGCCCACCCTTGGGCGTCTGCCTCGTCCTGTCTCTCTGTGCAGCCTCTCGCCAATTCTCGCAGCGGCCTTCATGCCGCCTCGCGGTCGGAGAAGGGGCAACTCCGTGCACTGACGGTCGGCCGCCAGAAAACACGCCTGCGTGGATCGCGTCACACCAATCCTCGCTACCCAACGCGGCCAAAGGATATCCACCTCGAGAACCTCGAGAGAGAGGGCTCGCCGGGCTCTGCTCCACGCAAGAGACCTCGAGAGAGAGTGCGTGTGTCTACCTCGCCAGCCATGCCGAGCCCATCCGCTGCCCAGCAGCTAGCAGTCGGCTCGTGGGTGCACTGCCCGCGCGAGGAGGGCGACGAGTACGAGGCGTGCGAAATAATCCAACTCGACGCCGCCTCGATGTCGGTCTCGCTCCGCTTTTCTGGTGGCTTTGTCGCGGCGGCCGTCCCCATCACACGCATCCGGCTGGAACCCGCTCCATCCACCACAGCGGCGGCGGCGAAGGAGGACGGCGACGAGGAGCCGCGAATCGTCGAGGACGACGGCTACTTTGCGGCAGCCGCCCTCCCGACGCCGCCCGCGGCTGCAGAGCTCGAGGCGGACCCGGAGGCGAAGTACCGGTTCGTCGCGGCGTACAAGGCGGCGGGCAACGAGCTCTTCAAGGCGGGCAAGTACGCGTGGGCCATCCGCACCTACACGGGTGCCGTCGACGCGCTGAGCCGGCACTGCTACCCGTCGCGTGAGAGGATGCTGTGGGACTACTTTGCCCGGGTGCCGTGCGCGCAGTGCTACTCGAACGCGGCTCTGTGCGCCATCAAGCTCGCCGACCACGCCCACGCGGCCGCGCTCTGCGAGCACGCGATGGAGTGCCGGCCGGAGGACGGCGACCTGACAAAGGTTCTGCTGCGGCACGGACAGGCGGTTTCCGAGAAGCTTCCACCGCGCACATGCCGCAGCCGCACGAGCTAGGGATGCTGCAGCCTCG